TTCCAAAATTTTCATGCCACTTTGAATATGTGCCGGAGGATTACGAAGAAGATACTGAAGGTACAAGCCTGGCTGTTGAATCAAAGAGTGTCACGACAGATAATGTTATAGCAGATAAATCCAATTTTGACATAGAATTGAATCCGTTCTTGTTTAATGATACTAGCTTTAATCAAGCACGTGAACTTGCTGAAGCAGAAGAAGAAGCAGACATTAATATTTTACGGGAAAGTAATGATAATGATAATGATACTGACATCGATATAGAAGGCTGTAATATAGCATTGTCCTTGGCAGCTGATCTAGAATCTGAGAATGATGAAAATGAGTATCTTGTTCAGAGTAATATTGATGCCAATATGAAACTTAATAAACAATTGTCAGCTTGTCCAGTTCTGGATATTATCGATAGCGATATTAAATGTTGTGGAAGTTATTCACAGGTACAAAGACTGCTTGCACAACTTGTCGAAGTATGGGAAATAGATTCTGAGATTTTTTAACAAGCAAAGGTGCCAAACAATTTGTCAATGATGGGAGTTTGCCAATCTCACTTTCTTTTTGATCAAAATTAGTTGCATCAACCACATATCAAAAATGAAAGATCAATTGATGAAAGTTGGATATTTTGCCGACGTTGTTTATTTTGTAACAAATACAAACATTTTTTTAGCAGAGGTAGGACCTGCGTACAACATTCGAAATGTGTTTTTGGAAAAAACATACAAACACCTTGCGTTAGTCTTAAGGTTTGCCCCATATTTGAAGAAGAAGAATCAAAAAATATTACAAGTAATCAGGGAACAGAATATCGACCCAGATTAACTCTAAAACGTGACTAGTGGCTTGATAATCAACCACACTTTCTAGTTTATCTAAATACCGAACCCCGAGCTTTACAGCCATATTTGCAATACCATATCCAGAAAAAATATTGATCAACGCAATACACATATCCTTTGACATATGCCATTGGCCTAAAAGAGGCCTTGCATCTTTATTCTTTTCTTTGTATGAGATCAGCCTACAAAAAATTGCTTGATCACAGGCAATGTCTAAATATCCGGTACTACATATGCCTACATCATTATAAAATGAATCACAAGCATTGTGAATATTTGCATCACAGTTAGGGTTGTCTCCAGGACTAAGAATAACGACTTTGGGGGGTGGCACCTAGCACCCGATAGGAACATTTTCAGAAATTTTGTTCAAAATATTACTTACATCCCAATTTTCATCACCTGTAGTTAAAAAATTTTGGAATGTAGTCTCATAAACCTTAAGAAGATCACTAGTAAAGAGTGAAGTTCTGAAAAGAGAATGATTAATTTTACGATTACCATTACTAATATCTATATGATTACGACAGCGAAGTTGCATGAGCATGATAAACTGGAAGACCATACATAGTGTAGTATGCGCAGTTCTTCATGCTGCATCATAGATATTCCCATAAGCAAATATTTTTTCTATGAAATCAATGTTGTCTATTACTAATACGTTCCATATGTATGCACTACGCAACAACCTTGTTTTAGGTTTTGCTTCATGTCGTCGGGTTTTTTCAAGGATTCTTTCATGTTGTTGCGTGTGTGAAACAACATTAGCTATGCAGAGTATGTTATATAAAGAATGATATAGTTTTGGTTTTCTGCACAGAGAACTCATCATATGAGTCAACTATATATTCATTCACGGGAATGCTATGTTTAGTATCATAGAAATAAGGAACACAAAAATTTTTACTACACGATCCTTGTCAAAAGCTTTTAATGGAAGGTTACTTTCTTTTCTTTTTTTTACAAGCACTTCATGCTTTTTTCTTTGCAAAGTTTCAATGAATCCATTAAAGAAATTGGCGACGCATAATGGGAACCCATCTTGAAATACTGTTAGAGAACTTGGACTTTCAAGATTTATTTTTTTGTTTCGTATTTCATGTTGTGCATTCCATGTCGCAATTCCTAATACTTTTCCTAAGGTTGGTACAGTTTTAGAGGTAATGTCATATTTTTGATCTATGATATTCATCATGTTAACATGACCTAGTCGTAAAACAATTTTAACAAATAAAAGGCTAGATAACTTTGTAGTCACTGGAAATGATTTAGTATCGAAAAAAGCTGGCAGAACAGAAATTAAATACGTTAAAAGAGCTTCTTTTTTGTTCTTATCAGCAATTTCAGCCATGCGCAAAATCCAATGTCCTAAAATTCTAAGTCCATCGGT